ACTCTTTACTGCCAATAGGCAGCAAGGGATGTCTCCGGCTGGGATAATAATTTATGCACTACTTCTAGCCATTTGAGGAACAAAGTTGCTTTTAGGGTGTGAGTGATCATTTTAGGCATCTTAGGTGAGGACTTCATGTCTTTAGACATAATTTTCAGATGAAATTAGTCATACTCACAATGCAGTGATAATACTGATTAACTCTGGCTTGATTTTTAAAGGAGGCTACCTCAAAAGTGTATGTCTACACTAGAGGTACCTGTGTTTAGTCCACTAAAGTGGATCTGGATCCTGATCTTGTGCTGACTCCATAACTGCATGGTAAACCTGCCAAAAGCCACGCTAAAGACTGCCTCTCTGTCTATATGGCAGTTGTTCAAAATACCTCCAAGATAATGAAACTTATGAGTGGCTGGAAATCCAATCCCTCTGATAGAAAGGAGAATCTGTACTTCTGTGCTTGATACATAACCTCAGTTCTCTTCAAACAAACTGTTAGCATAAAGCAAATTAAAGCACATAAGAGTACAGAAACTGTATTCTTTGGCAATCATCCAAATGAGGACAGCCAGTAGAAAAATCCATCCTGCTGTATGTGTCTCATCTCTGATAGGCTGCAGGCATTCAGAGATGGCAAGGACCCTGCAAAGATAAGAGAGCCTTTTTCCAAAAACATCATGATAACCTCTAAATGCTAACTACAAATGACTTAAGATGTAAGCAGAGCTGGTGCAAGGTCAGTTGTCTCCTTTCTCCTCTTTGGAGCCCAGAAAGATGATGTTCCTCAAAAGGATAAGTTTCTTAATTTTTACCTCCTTTAAAGACTTTAAGGTCTTTGTGACTTTATCCCACAGCCTGCAGGGAGAGACATGTAGGATCTTTACTCTAGCTTCCACACTTTTGATTTTGCTCCCACTTAATATTTTCACTGAATCTGATCACAGAATCATAGAATCATAGAATTGTTTAGATTTAGAAAGGACATTTAAGATCATCGAGTCCAACTGTAAACCTAGTACGGCCAAGTCCACCACTGAGCCATATCCCTAAGCACCACATCTACATGTCTTTTAAATGCCTCCAGGGATGGTGACTCTACCACTTCCCAGAATTCCAATGCTTGACAAACCTTCTGGTGAAGAAATTCTTCCTAATATCCAATCCAAACCTCCCCTGGCAAAACTTGAGGTCATTTCCTCTTGTCCTATTGCTTGTTACTTGGGAGAAGAGGCCAACCCCCACCTTGCCACAACCTCCTTTCAGGTAGTTGTAGAGAGCGATCAGGTCTCCTCTCAGCCTCCTCTTCTCCAGACTAACAACCCCAGCTCCCTCAGCCGCTCCCCATCAGACTTGTGCTCCAGGCCCTTCGCCACCTTCGTTGCCCTTCTCTGCACACGCTCCAGCCCCTCAATGTCTTTCTTGTAGTGAGGGGCCCAAAACTGAACACAGCACTCGAGGTGTGGCCTCACCAGTGCCGAGTTCAGGCGGACAATCACTGCCCTGGTCCTGCTAGCCACACTGTCTCTGATACAAGCCAGGATGCTGTTGGCCACCTGGGCACACTGCTGGCTCATACTGAGCAGGCTGTCAACCAGAAACCCCAGGTCTTTCTTCTACGGGCAGCTTTCCAGCCACTCTTCCCCAAGCCTGTAGCATTGCATGGGGTTGTTATGACCCAAGTGCAGGACTTGGTACTTAGCCTCATTGAATTCATGAACAGGATTTTCAGAAGCAGCTCAGTGACTTAAAAGCATCAGGTTTTTTTGGATGTCAATGGTACACGTGCTACCACAACATTTAGGTCCTTTGAAAACTCTGTTCTCTAGTAATAAGGGAGTCCATAGGCAAACATCTTTAGATCGCTTCCTGCCTCAATTAGCAGTAATTAACAAGAACACATGTGGCAGTGCATTGCAAAAGTAGCTAAAAATTGCATTGTCCAGAGACGCAGCTGTAGGATCAACACAATCCATCCTCTTCTGGTACATGTAGCTATTAGGGTCTCTTCAAACCTGTAATCAGGAATCCCATTTCTCCCCTTGATATGACACCCAAGATTCAATATACCACTTTCTCTTGTTCTTACTTGTTCACCCCAGTAACCGTATTAACACAAGTCTAGGCTATGAGCACACGAAGATTTGAGTGTCTGTTTCACGGCTCTTCTCTGCCATGATGTGGTATCCTTATAGATGTGGCCCCATCCCCATGTAGGGATGCAGCACTCAAGTAAAAGGAAGGGGGTTATGCAGGCCCTGCCCAGCATGATGCAGCAGCAAAGGTATCTGTGGTATGAAATGATACATCAATTCTCTTTTCCACTTCCTTTCTTATTTGCTTGTTTGTTTGCAAAAGGAATCAACAGTGGGATGTCATTGCATGACTTGGAGCTGGAGCCCCCAGTACAGGTAAATAGCACTTAGGCTTTCATCTGGTTCTGTCTTGGACCAGCCTGGCCCATGAGCTTTGCTGGGGAGTCAAGAGATGGGATCTAGAGGTTTCCTCTTTGAAAAGGCATCAGAGGAGACACAGTGTACCTCAGTCCTAGCTCTTCCAAGAACAAAAATCAGCTAATCATACAGTCATAGAACCACAGAATGGTTTGCGTCGGAAGGGACCTTTAAAGATCGTCTAGTCCAACCTCCCTGCCATGAGCAGGAACATTTTCACTACATCAGGTTGCTCAAAGCCCCATCCAACCTGACCTTGAACACTTCAATGATGGGGCATCCACAATTTCTCTGGACAACCTGTTCCAGTGTCTCACCACCCTCATAGTAAAGAATTTCTTCCTTGTATCTAATCTAAATCTACCTTCTTAGTTTAAATTCATTGCCCTTTGTCCTGTCACTACAGGCCCTGGTAAAAAGTCTCTCTTCATCTTTCTTATAAGATCTCCATTAAGTACTGCAAGGCCACAATAAGGTCTCCCTGGAGCCTTCTCTTCTCAAGGCTGAACAGCCCCAACTCTCTCAGCCTTTCCTCACAGAAGTAGTGTTCTAGCCCTCTGATCATTTTGGTGGACCCAGTCTAACAGGTCCATGTCTTGTGCTGGGGTCCCCAGAGCTGAAGGCAGGACTGCATGTGGGGTCTCACCAGAGCAGAGCAGAGGGGCAGAATCACCTCCCTTGACCTGCTGGTCACACTGCTTTTGATGCAGTCCAGGATACGGTTGGCTTACTGGGCTGCAAGTGCACATTGCCAGCTCATTTCCAATTTTTCATCCATCAGTATCCTCAAGTCCTTCTCCGCAGGGCTGCTCCCAATCCCTTCATCCCCCAGCCTGTATTGATACCTGGGATTGCCCTGACACCCGGGTGTACGACCTTGCACTTAGCCTTGTTGAACTTCATGAGGTTCACATGGGCTCACTCCTCAAGCCCTTCAAAGTCCCTCTGGATGGCATCCCTTCTCTCAAATCTATCAACTGCACCACTCAGCTTGGTGTCATCTGCAAAATTTCTGAGGGTGCACTCAGTCCCACTGTCTATGTCATTAATAAAGATATTGAACAGTACCAGTCCTAATACGGAATGCTGAGGGACACCACTTGTTCTGGTCTCCATTTGGACACTGAGCCATTGACTGTAACTGGATGCAGCCATCCAGCCAATTCCTTACCCTTCAAATAGTCCATCCATCAAACCCATGTCTCTCCAAATTAAAGGTAAAAATGTTGGGGAGGTCTGTATCAAAGACCTTACAGAAAGTCCAGGTAGTTGACAGGTAGCTTGCTTCTAGTAAGCTTGCAGTGGTTTATCCTGCACTGTGTTTCTCAAGGACATCAGAGGTTGTACCAGCATTTCAGGTTGCACCTGGTGGGATCCCACTTGCCTGGGGGCTCCCTGCAGGCAGAGGTCCAACCTCACTGGATCTGGGCTCTTCTCTGGGCTCCTCCTGCAACTAGGAAATGTCAGAGGATCCAGCCCACAGCAGGGAAGGAGTTAAGTGCTTGACCAGCTGCCGTCTATGAGGCACTGAATTCTTTCCCTGTGCAATCCAGCAGCCAGCGTCAGGACAACACTATATTTAGAAAGCTGATAAAGGTTTGGTGCCGACAGTTGTCCTGCCCCTTGATGAAGAAGCCGCAGAGAGAGCGAGAGGGGGCAGCTGATTTCTCTCCCCCCAGTACCATTCCCTGCCAGGTTTCCTACCCTCTTCACCGGACTCCTTCGCCGTGCCTCCAGCAGGGACCCCCAGCAGAGTTGTCCAGGCACAGGGGGTAAGTGCCCTTTCCTTGCTCTC